ACATAGATTACGCTTCCTTAAGCGCTAAGCTACGGCAGCCTCGCTGCAAGAGACATCAGCATTTTTAGCTCGTCTTGCATGCCCTGGGGCAAATAAAAAAAATCCTCCTCCTCACAGAGGATCAGTCGTAACGACTCAGGTGAAAATTGACTACAAGTTCTGCAAAGTGCAGCGGGGCCGCCGTAGCCCTTTTGCTTAGAGGAAGCTAAGCTAAGGCCGTCGACCTTACGCTCTATACTAGAACCAGTACGAGTGTAGCGGATCGCAATCCGCTTACTCGAAGAGTAACCACAACATTCTTCCGTTAAAAACGTAAACAGTATTTATCGTTTTTTTAGCGGCAAAGCCACATTTATTTATTGTTTTACAATTTGCATTGTATAACCTAATTAAAACTGGCACGTACTGACCTCTTTAAGTGTAGCCACAGCATGGTGTAGTCACACCATCGTGTGTGACGCACACTCCTCATTTGTTACAGTACGTTAATTGCAACGGCTAATATACCTGGCTGCCAGAATTAAATGATAGTCAATATATCAAAAGAGATCAAACGGTTGTGAGGCGAGAAATTTGCACAGACCGTCCCCGATTTTCGCGAAGTCGAATACAGTGCCGGGCTTCTCAGCGTGCCCATAAAATGATACTCACCTCGCACGCATTTGATCCCAAGGAGCAGAGCAAATCTTGATGAAAATACCGTTTTCGCTATCTTTGAATCAGTATTGCTGCTGATTTCTAATCCGGATTAGCTAACATTAACCAATGCACTGCAAATCAAATTTAGCACCGAGAGGCGTCAACATGAGGCTAATACAGTATTGGTACACACATCAGTTTTCTGCAACTGTACATGTACCGTGCCATTGTGCATTAAACAAATTAGACACTCGCTTCGAGAAATTTAACGTATCTTGAGGCTGCTCAAGCTGGTGTAAGTTTCATTAATTTTGAAGCCAGATGGTGATGCTGCATGTGTATCGAACTTCAAGAATGAGCCAGTATATGCCGGTTTTTAAATGGAGGCGCCAAATCCTAACACATTTACTCAAAGATTCTACTGCGCTATCGGTGCTGGCACGTTGATTAAGAACGATTATCGTCGTCACCATTCAAGCGCCAAATATTACATTTACATTGTTAGCCACTAATTGCACCTACTGCGTCGACGGCAACGATTTATTTGACTATTGTCGAGATTTGATTTTTTAAGGAAAAGGGTCTGCAAGTAAGCGGACATTTCATCAAAAGTTAAGCTTCATGTATTAAAACTTATCTGCCACTGTGCAGCGGGAATATGATGACGTTTACACCTTTCACGAATTTCAACACAATTTCCCGCAGTGGACAATAGACGTGTCTCAAGTCATTTCGCCTGCCGCGCCGCACCGAAATGCACGCGCTCTTTAAGTTCTTATTTTATTGCTTGGTCATGGACATCGCCAACGACGTTGTGAAAGTTGATTGCAAGATACAGAATGGCAACGACCAGAGTACACCCGGTTCATCATTGCTCGTTGATGAAACAAAGTAAGACAAGCACACATTAGAAAGCAGCAGCATCCTCGTCTTTTTTTGTCCAGCGTGATTTTTGTACAGCTTTGGGCGCCCCATGATACTATCTACAGTGCCGCTGTGTTGTTATTTAACAGCTTTACAACCACAAAAAACGGCTGTACAGGGCAGAGATCCGGCAATCTAATACGCCACCTAGCATGACCACCAGCCGATAAATTAGCTGCTGCACTTGCACAGCTCACTCACACTGTATAGATATAGCCTTCGTTATCAGTCTGATAGTCAGGTGCTAGGGCAGGCGCGTCAACACAGCTCTGATTTTTACGGACACCCAAATTATTTGCCGTTCTTGCCTTGCAACAGCTTGACAGTCGCAACTGGGGCAAGAGATGGGTCGCTTCCGACTAACGCGTCACTTGATCCGAAACTTTATCTCGGGAGCTAGGTATACGATGGGTTGGTCGTCGTGTCATTTTGCTGTACTGCCGGTATTGGTATTTGCACGTGCGTGCGGATCTTTTTTACTCGCTCGTGATAGCGACTGTCTGTCGGTCCGCCGCCTTCGCTAGCGAGCAGAATGTCTTTCTAGCCGATCAGCAGGAGCTGCACCAGCTGACTGGCTTCGTGCTACTCATTTTCTTTCTTTCTTCGTCAAAGCTCGCACACACACTCACGGCAGATCGTCGTCGTCAGTATAGTGAGTCAGTCGGGATCCAGTGCAGGACCGCGTTTTTGTAGTACAGCAAACCAGACGCAGCGCAAATTGATGGGAGTGCTTCAACACAATCAGCTCGCGACAATTGCTTGTCCTGGTTCAAAGATCACATGGTTTAGACGAGGAGGTAATGAGCGTCGGCAGAAGCGTCACAATTCGCGTCATGAACCCGAATTCGACTGCGTCTACACTTTGTTGAGATTCGCGTCTTCGGCCCACCCCACCGGCGACAATATTCATCAAACCGGCACCAGCTACAGCTCCAACAATGCGGGCGATGGGCCTGAAAAGACTCGTGACCGTAAAAGCTGGTTTCCACGTTTCAAATCAAACTGGCTAGGCACTTTTCGATCCAAGCAAATGTTTCTATGTTGTGAATGCGCCGTGCCACCTAGTAGCGGGAACAGGCTTCCGAGCCAGACTAGCCGCTACAAAGGTGCCGAGGGAAAGCATTGCCGCTGCGGCAAAGACCAATGGCACCTTGCCAAATCTGTTGAAGAGACCGAATACAATCGTCGGATGGCGATTAGTAAAGCTCTGGGCGGTATGCGCTATGACGAGGCTGTGCAGCGTCTGCGAAACAAAGGCCAATCCGAGCTCGATTTTAACGTGTCGGAGTTTATCAATACTTCATCACTCTCTCCATCACAAAACACCGAAATACTTGCAATGTCATCGTCTTCGTCGAGCTCACATAAGCGTGCTCGCAGCGGTTCACTTTCTACTCGAATTTATGCTGCATCACATGTCAACAAGTGCGACTTATCCACTCTGCCCTTAACGACATCCCACGTTTATGAACACGCGAAACCCTTGAAGGATTACGTCGCGTACAATTCAGTATATAGCAATAATGTCATCGAGGATATGCATCCCCAGCAACACCCTCCGGAGTACGAGCATCTTCCCCCTGCATCTTTCGGTGACGAAGAGTCATTTGGAGACCTTCTTCAAGGCATCCTAGAGGATGATTCTCGAGGTGCCGAGACCACAAACATGGATTTTAACTCGAATCAGACGAGTGGATGTGGTGGAGCTCGGATTGGCTATGCCACCGAACCTTCACAAGCACATTTCAGTGTGGCTTCCTTAAAGCGTACAGTTAGTATGCCAGCCTATGCCGCAATCCCTTCTTTTATAGCCTCGCCACCGTGCGCATTACAGGATAACAGTCATCCGAGTCGCAGGGCTGGTTTGAATCATGCGCCTGCTTTCTTAAACTATTCCTTCCATGCGCTACAGCAGCAGCCAATGTTTCAGCATCAACCTCCAAATCAATTACAACGGCGAAATAAAACCCAGGAGCAAGTCTACACGAGACCACTTTCGATGACGCCAAGTGCTATCGCAACCACTACTTCAACGTCATTTTCTACATAAGTAGGAGTTCAAGTATTAGATGAAAGGAAGAAGAATGGCAGAAGCTTATCTGTAAACACAAGTGTGCTTGTACATACAACTCGTTTGATTGTCACGTTACTGTTTTGCTTTCACTTATGTACTGTCAATTGATCGTAAAGAAGGTGCAACCACGACTTCTTGGCGTTGAACAAGCTCGTCATTAGGCTCATGCAGATAGGTCTTCAGCAATATGTTGAAGTGATCGGGTTCGTATACCAGAAAGTCATTACTACAACACCCATTTAATTCTGGAGTTCAAAATACGCTCACTCAGAGGCACAGATATATTTCTGCCGCCAGACACTTCCAGAGTTGAGGTTGCGGCCACCTTCCCGCTTAATCTAGCACGAACAACTTCATCATATCTACTTAGATGAGCAAAACTACAGCCTTCCCGAAATCCAGACATAACGACTATTAAAAAGCAACATTTCACCTTCCTTGCAACTGCTCGGCTCTCAACTTGGCCCTATGTCTTCTTCTGTATCTCCTCAAACCACAAATCTTCATTCATTGTGCCACCGCATAATCTTCATCCTCTTTGCGCAATTGCCTATAAAACATCAAGCAAAGCAATTTTAGAGCCCAGCAAGTTCAGTTTAATGCATTTAGGACTAGCGGCGTTCGCCGTACATGCAGCAAGAGATTGGACGTCCACCGCTTGCAAAATCTCATGAATGTCACGCTTGACGAGTTCGCAGACAAAGTCGCGTTTTGACATGCGTAATTCGATGCTGGAGAGTGCGAAGCTCTGAATCAAGCGGCCGCGGAACGAAAGACATTAACTCTTAGCAGTTGTAGAGCGACAACAAGGGGCATAAACACTACGACGCAAATGCAAAGATTAAAGACCAGGAGGAAGAGATAAATTTTAGGTCGACGAGCCAATGTTTATGACGATAATATGTGAAATGCACTATGGTAATAATTCCATTCGAACGAAAGTCTGCTAAGTTTTCCAAACAAGTACTGAAACACCAATGGCAACACTAAAGTAGACATATGTTTTAATTTCATGCGTCACATAGGCGCCAAAGGAAGAGCCCACGACGCAGTTCCAGCCGCGGCCATATTCCTTTTCCATGTTGCGGCGTACGAATTCAGCTATGGTAGAAAAAGTTTTTTCCGACTGCGGTAAAAGTGAATCATTCGTCGTCATCTTCTTAATGTGTGCGTCATTTTTTGTTAAAATGGACAGCTCAACGTACTGTGACTTGCAGCTGAAAAGCGTCTTTTGCTGTGCTCAACACCTTATCGAGCATGGCGTCCGTCATGTCCTCAGCAAACACAACAACCTTGTGAAATTTATCGTTGCTCTTATTTGACATCGTGTGCTGCAGAAGAGGTGGAAATGCAATAGAAGAGATAAGTGCCCCTTCGTGACTGAATAAAAAGTATCTTACAATTATGTTCAGTTTTCGCTACAACCAGATTTCTGGTGGTTAATGAATATTAATTCCCACTTGTGTCCCTTTATGAACTTTCGCTGTCTGAAGTCTGACATGTTTGAAATCCACTATTCATGATTTTTTTCCTTGTCCAAAAGAAAAATACTTAAGTTCAACGCGTCATCAGCTTCGACGTCCGAGTCTGAATAAGATCGTATTCTCTGTGTAAATTGGTTCACTATATAACATTAAATTAGCAAGACATAGTGCTTACAAGGGTTTGTTTGAAGCGGTTAAGTCACGAGGAGATAGGATAATTGACGGCGCTAGAGTCAGAAACGGTAGGAGTTAGTCAACCATAGACACTTCCAAAAATGCCTAAATAAGGCTTTTATGTATACACCACTGTTTCCCACAGTGAGGCCGCGACAGTTTTTCTTTGGGTAGTAGAGGCTGAGATGGACATACAATCGGGCATGCTTAGACATTTACTTGCAGGTAGTGTCTAAGCGACAATGTCGCGCCTAACCAGGCGTACCGATTGCAGTAAAAAGCTTATTCACCCATCAAGAGATTTACAAGATAGCGAACTATGCTCACGAGCTGCAAGCTCTCACTGGCGCGATGGTGGCAGTCTCATTTCCCAAGGCGGCAACGGCCACAATCGTAATGGAGGAAGAGCGACTCGCACTGATATCTCTGCGTTCATTCCATCTCTTTCGAGGATGTTGTATGTGCCGCACTGAAAGCAAAGAACAACCTTCGTGCCATGAGACCGGTCAAAGTACGGACGAGTGCAGTCTACACGAACAAACCAGAGGTGATGCACTACAACCATGCAAAAAACGATGGGAAGAATGTTCTCACTGCCAAGCAACACCCTGGTATGCGCAAATGCTGCATCTATGATAGTGCCAGACATTCGAGTAATGCGTGGTCCCATTGCTTGACATAAAAATGAAAAGAACTGAGCTCCTACGCAGGGTCTATTGATAAGCCTCTTAAGGAAATAGGCCAACTCCGAGAGGTGCATGGCGGCCTACCGAGAAGAACTGGGTTGTATTAAAGGTCGTGAAGGTCAAAGTTGAAAGTGAGTGGCTGCACTGAAGAGTGATGGGATAGCTCTACAGATTGTTGGCATTTAACATAAAAATCCCAAAAATTTCGATACGACGAGTTTGTGTACAATTGGCGAGTACATAAAGCAGTAGATATTACCCGGAGATGTTGAAGATGCTAAATTTAGATAAGATCTCCATGCGTTACAGGAGCACTGGCCGAAATGTCAGGAGTCCTCCTGAAGTTTCCTGAAAATTTCGAGATTTTTGTAGCGTAATGTTTGTACCAGACCTGAATCTGAGCTACATATTCGTTCGAGATATGACGTGACTGACACAGGATAAGCCAACATTTGACTGGGATTTGTCAACATTGCATACCACTACTTAGGATAGTTCAAGTGAGTCATGAATTTTTCTCTGCTATGGTCGAGATCCGCTGTTGGCGTTGACACGAAGCAATAATAGCTATGGAGCAGGACATGAAATCGTCTGATTGACCAGCAGCTATATTGCCACTGATCAAATACAGCAAAACCTCACAAGTAAGGTTTGAAGCCACTCGATTTTTGTACTTGCCCTGTGACATGCCCCCCCACTGGGATGTGAAGCACGTTGAGATCTAGATTTTTACGACACTGTGCATGAAGTACCACTCCACAAGCAACCACTGCATTCAAGGTTTCACCTCACTTTCTGCGGCTTATCGTGCCTGCTCTTCAAAACGTATTTGCGCCGAATAGTATTTTTAATGAGGATATCGAGGTGATCTCCATTGAAAGCGGTCGTAGTGACTAATGGAGCCCTAAGTAAACAACCGGGTGCGCTTAGGGCAGCATCGATTAGAAATTTTCAATCTTTTCGCGAGAGACGTATCTGGGGTACTAGAAGCTGACAAAAGTGCTGATGAAGATTGTATTCAGTATGCGTACTGGACGGGAAAGGACACAATCTCACCCCTATTGAAGCTTTACGACACAGTGGACGTTCGTCTCAAGCGTCACCTCATTTTCGACTTTCAAGAGTTCAGAGACGTCCAGATCACAATATATCACATCAAACTTCTGCTATTTATAGCCTGCTCGTTTTCATTAGCAGTTGTAACAATTTCGATCGAAGGTCTAATCAACCGTTAAGCTGATCACCTCTCATTAGTAGAAGGCGCACTGCGACAGACTACTCTATCTTTTCTTCGGCGGGTATACAAACCGGAGTGCGCCAGATCGTAAGCAGCCACGGCACCAGAAAGATTTGCCGAGGTTGAACCTCGAACTACCACGAGCTCTCCGACTGAAAATATTTCATCTACTTCACCAAGCACTGACATAACCGAGGTATACCCCATCTACCCACCAAATGTCTCGCTAAGGACAAATAATGATACGAATACCTAGTCATCCCGGAAGACTCTCCATACTTCGGAACTTTACGACCGGTCAACTCTGAAGCCGCTCATCAGGCATTGAGTCATGGAAAACTTGTCGTTCATTTGGAAATCCGGAAATATGTTAATTTACTGCTGAAGCCACAAAAATGCATATACATGTGACTTGCCATTGCGACTACTTAGCTTGACCAACTTTACGTAAACTCCAAATAAATGGACTGTGAAGTATGATAGAAATCTCTACATTTTTCCAGTTTAATCAGATTTAAGTTTTGTTTGTAACATGCTCTGGTTGTTCGATACAAATTTCAATAAACACTGGCGTCAACATGTCAACTGCCTGTTTGCATGGAGGTGTAGTGGTCGAAGACGCCGAACACTATTTTGAGGTCATCACGTGGTTTGTTGTCGAAAGAATTATTGCCTTAAGGAATTTGGTGAGGTCATTGAAGAAGATCTCGATTGGACTTAGGTGATATTTGTGAATGTTTATCAACTTACGTCAACTGTGACTAAGTTCTACACAGATCATGCTGCACAAGTGGTATTTAACATTGTTCGCTGTTATGTTCTACACTCTCTGAGGCTACATTCAATCAAGGAGCTATATTGGACTAACAACCTCTGCGTGTTATATCAATTTTTACACTAGGCTTAACATTAAAGTCATACTTTTGCAAGCTCGCAAAAGTTGCTTTAAGGATAACGAGGGTTAAGTTGACAGCACGGATCAACGCAATTTTGTGTGCTTCACGTCTACATACAGCGAACAAATTAAATTTGGAAAAGGATCAGCCGTCTAAGCTGTTTGTTCATTAGGTTCGTTTGATCATGACCTGGCTACGACTATGACTTATATATGCACGACTACGACTAGCAAGTGACTCGTCCTGGCTAACTACTTGCACGAGTATATTGACAGTTATTTTGTCATAACTCGAACTTTATGGAAAGATATCAAAGTGCTACGAAGCAATTGTAGAGTCGATCCCCAAGGCTTGGGAATACATCTTCCCGCGATTCTGGCGCTCCCAATTCTGGATCGAGCATATATGTGATCTGCTAATCTTTCGCTCGACAGCGTTCGCCAGCGTCTGTACCTTTTTCGACCCAGATGCTTATGGGCTCATTGACAGCTGCTTGGAATATAAATTTGTCGATAGCAGAAGCTAAGGCGTAGTTGACAATATATCTAATCGACCCTATGGGACTTGCCAGCTTGGAAACGGCTACCCCGGTCTTGGCAAGGGGATACTTGCAGAAAAGAATGTTTTTTAAACTTCATATTCTCTGCTGAGTATATTTCTGGGGTCTCTCCTCGAAAATAACGAGACATGATTTTTTTTCGACTGACTACTAATTTGGTAGGTATTATGCAATGGCAAATGCGCTTTCGCGTTGCTCCTACTATGAGCTTTGGCATGTTACGATGGCGAGCACATAACTCGATGAGGCAGTACAAAAAGCAGAAAGGTCATGAAAAAACATGCGCTGGGTTGCAAAAGATTTGGGAATTAATATGCCCGTAGTTACAGACATCGTTTTTCAAAGGTCTCGGTCGCATGTCTGACTGATGCTAAGTATAGTTAACCGATCCGTGGCCCAAGTGGGTTGTAGCTTGGCCTGGGACCGGGATGTACCTGGTTCGATACCCATAGGATCCAAATCAAGGACGCCGGAGACTGGACACTAAAGTGCACGAGCAATCACATCCCAGTGGTGTGACCGCCCTGTCAAGCCGCACCAAAATGGGTGTGTGATAGTAGGGTGGGAGGAGGTCCTACCGACCGAAAAAGCCACAAAGTTTAATGAGGGGTGCGGAACCCGGTCCCGAATGAGCTGGATAGCTACCAGCATCCCGCGCTAAAGAAAGCTTAGTTTTATCATGTGGGTTCCGGTAGCTTAAATCTCCTTGATGCTAAGTACCTCAACATTTACTATTCTATAGTGCTCTCACATTCACCAATATGAGGTGTACATCTTGACAAAGACGTCAAGTACAGAATACTGCATCAGTCACATGATATGGCAACTTCGAGAAAAAGACAATACAGTTTGGCTCGGAGAACGCTATGTACGGGTGGTATCAATTATATTTGAGTAAGCACCTATGTGCGCACGTGTAAACTGTGACTAAATATTACGTACTCGCCGGTCGCGTCGTCACCTTTGACCAGCTCGTCGGATATAGCAGAGTATTGACAGTCTACAAGTATTTATTCAGCTTTAAGTCTCCCGAAAATGCACCGATATCTTGGTCCTTATGGTTCATCTGTGCAAAGATTTATACACCTGCTGGCAGTGATACCATCTCCGGCGAGAATGCGGCCAAGCTAACCCTCGCCAAAGTTTTTTGCCAGCATGGCTTGCAGATAGCGATACTGTCGAGTCGAGATACACGCTTTTTAGCAACGTTTAAGCAAAATTTGATCAGTTTGCTAGTTATTGATGGCTAATGATAATAATACGGAAAGTATTGATTGCGTGGTGGAGGATATCCTCCGAAATACTTGCGCGAAGTGACTCCGTGCTGAAGAATAATACTCTTGCTAATGAAATTCGAGTTAAATAATCTCTAGATGCGTCTACTGACCTTTCTCGCTTTACATCTATTAATGATTTATCTATCCCGTGTTTGCCTTTGATACCATTACTAAGCGACTTCAGTCACTGGAGAAATGGCTGTCGATACAACTTAATTTTTATGCAAGCGCGGCTACATTTTTGTACCAATACCTCTGATTTTATCTCAACGCTATTGAATTAAGCAAGCCGGGTGCACAGCAATTTACTCAAGTAGCAGAAAGTTTTAAGCGACATTCCTACGCCCGAGGCACCCAAAATACACATGCAAATGTAGTGGTGTAATTATGTCCTGAATGTTATGAACGTACCTATACAAGTAGTGTATACAGTCTATAGCACTAAGCTGCGATCACGCTACACCAGACAGCGCCGTAAAAATTCTTATAAGTAGTGGTTCGATTTAGTGTGAGAGGTTTAGTGGGATGACGAGTTCAATTGAGCTGTTACCAGTATCTGGGTAATGGATACCCGAGCACCGAAAAACTATATAAGCTCTCAATATTATTCTGCTAGATTGACCTACCGTCATTTTTGTTCTTGATATGGTACTCCCTCGGCCTTTACAAGAGATTTATCGTTGCCGGTTTGGGCTCAAACCACTGTCGAGTATGATTATACCTTGCCGCAAATTAGATCCTGGTCGAATATTGTGAAAGCTACATGAGACGGGCTGCTAAAGCAAGAACAAGAGGCAATAATTCTCACATCCTCATTTGAGCTGTGCTTACCCACGCAACATCAAGTATAATTCGATACTAAAGTCGGACGTTGCCTCAGAGACGTCGGTCTTCTAAGCTGTGCGACGCAGGTGACATCGCGTCTATTCACAATGAGCGAATTGAGCCCGGCACAATTTGGTACTATCATAGGCAGAACATTTATTGCTTCACGTACAGTCTACCCAGAGTGTAAGAATTAACTCAACCGCTGCTAGCCCAAGCGTAAGTATTACTCTCGAGAAACAACAATCTGTGGGATCAGATAGCGCTCTTGAAGACACCTTATACGTTAATTTTGCTCGCCAATTTTGCTCGCTTATGAGCAAAAGGTCTTGCATGATTAGGCGTGTTAAGTCTACGTTGCGTGTTGATAGCAACTATGAGTCGTTTAAAATCATATACACGGGGTGATGAGATCGGCGGAGGTGGTATAACGCACAGGAAGGCCGGGATCTCAGGGTAGACCATCTCAGGCATGACAAGCTGGTGGTAAGCGTAATTTATGCCACTTGGCATTGAACGCTTCTTGTTCGAGGAAGCGGGCATAAATTTCTTAATTGTGCAGTGTGCAGTCGTAGCGCAGCGAATGACTTAGTCGTATGTCTTCACGTGAGTGCGGGGAATTTTGGATGTTGCGAAAAGAGTTGCTCCGATCGTTATGTTGCACAACCTAGCCGTCGAGTATACTTTTAGGACGTTGAGGTCAAGGTCGCGCCTGTTGAACCTGGTCGAAATATATGTGGTGGCAAAACAAAGATGACTCCTAAGGCAAAGATGATCTTGTCGTGGGAACTATAGAGTGGAAGAACGGGTGTATGAATCCGCGTTCAGTGGGAATGTAAGGAACAAACAGAAACAGTGTATGTCTCAGTGCGATCTACATCGTGATGGAGGGGTATGGGGTGCATACTGTAATATGTGTGCAAATACAATACACTTTCGTTACTTCTAGATGTTGTTTCATATAACGATGATATGACTTTGTTAAGAGATGCCCATCGTACACACAAGCTGTGAGACTCACGTCAAGCAATCTAATTAGTTGTGTTGTAAAAATAGAATTACGGATAAAGCTAGTAACATCTATAGAATACTTTCAGATACGTGACACTCCTAAAGTGGCATAGAAAACAATGCACGCAAATTATTGAATAGACCCGCGGTTCGCTACGGAGTCTAGCATACAAACTCAAGGTTTGTCTGATACCATGGATGCTACAAGTCAAATTTTCCGCGATGCAAGGAGCACAACAACTCATTGGAGTTTTATCACAAATTGTGCCTTACAAGCATGTGCTTTAAAGGGTTACGGGTGTAGCAGCAAACAAATTAGTGTCGCTTGTGCAGATATGTTGTGCATCATGTGACAGGGTTGTCGATTGCTCAGCATATGACGCTAGACACCCTATAAACGGGATTAAAAGCCGACGAATTAATTAACATACTTTTATTCTTACAATTTCACGAGTGACATACATTTAGGATAGAAAATTCTAAGTCAATAATTTATAAATCGTTTGCTACACACAATGATAATGTTTGAGGTGATACCCAGTTGCACCACGAACCTCTTTTTGATGAGGTCCCATGATCTTCATAGGCGCTTTTGACTATTTATAACAAGATATTGTACTTTGCACAATGTACAAAAGTGTAAAATATCCCAACACAATATTGCTGGTAACAAACGACACACCAAGATGTAGACCACAGTGATTTCCAAATTTATCATGTCTGTATAAGACGTCACTGAAACTTAAAAGCTTAACGATCACGCACTACAGTTGGTGCTTCTCACCCTTCCTTGCGTCTTAGAGCGCCTACTGTGAGCGCAAATTCTCATTGATTGTCATTTTCCTACCTATCGTCATTTAGATCAGCAAACTACAAAAGAAGTGAAAATCTTGTGACTGAATAGACTATATTCATTATCAATTAGACGGCCGAGATACCCATTCTCAATGAAAGAAGTTGCAACACTTCGCCGTGTAATATACGAGTACATCTATCCAGTCGCCTCTATAAAATAATGAATAAAAGTTCCAGGCTTGCCTATCTCCAAGCACAAAAATGCAGCTGATATTGATCGCCGCGCCGAAGAAAACTTCCTCCGTTGTTATCTGCTCAAGACAATAAGGAAGTGAGCGCCGAATAGTCACCTCGCAGGTGTATTTTAAGACCGCTTCTTAGGAGTATCGCTTAAGATTGGAGATTCTGCCGTCGGGTAAGTCGATAGCCTCCATGTGAGCTGAATCATGGATTCCGATTATCAAACGGGGTGCCCAATGGATTCGCAAACTGAGTGAGAATAACACGTCGTCTAACCCATCCCACAGCTTTACAATAGAAATACAATGAGACAGGCCTTACAATTAACATCAATAAATGTTTGGATTTGCAGATACCAATCTAACTTAGACGTCGAGGTTAGAATTCATCGCCTGCATTCTTGCCGTGACCAGTCTCTCTAATCTATATTACAGCTGTTAGGCTGGCATGAAACTTGCGACAAGATCAAAGTTTTTTGCTAGTGGTATAAGCGCTGCATTGAGCGCCCCTGCCCCCTGCCTTTTTACCAGTGGTGAAAATTCCGACATCATGCCATAAGCGACAAAACGGCTAGGGAAACTCGCAGAGTTGGGAACTAGTGAGTATATCCCTGTCGCAACACCAAATACTGGCAAATAAAATGATGATCTGCCGGCCTCAATCGTTCCACGTTAACATCGGCAGCTTCTATTTTATTCAGCAGATCCGGTAGAGGATGACCCGCCAGAAGCAGACTCTTGTGAACTTTTCTTATTGAGGCGAATGGCAACTCTTTCCAAGTAGCTCGGCGTGCAGCCATAGCTGAGAAAGTCTAGCTCTCTAAAGTTAAGATATATCGCTTCTTGCCATCGCACTGTACGTCTTGAGGCATGTGGGTCAAAATTGCGTTGCTACTCCAGGGAAGAGGATAGCTCAGCTGTTTTGATGGAATGGATGCCGCTCCATCTTCAAGCGATAAACAAGCGCCAAGCTATCAAAACAGATCACGATAAATCGTTAGCAAGCCTTTGTGGAATACAGTATACTCTCGCGATAGCATAGGGAGGTTAAGAATGCAACACAGTTTTTTTCGCGATTACCGAACATGATCGATGCCTTTTCGAACATTGCATTTGTTTTTGTTGGCAGGTCAACCGCATTTAATACAAATTTATCAGACTACACATTGGTGCGTGGTTTGGTTTCGGCGTGCTGATTTTCAGCATTCATTCAAAGTATCGTGCATCCTGTGCATAACGCTCAATCTCATTGAAAAAGAGTTTGAATTGTTGCTACACATTGTTGTCGGGCTCATATCAACAAGTCGAATTGGATTGAGAACCCAACCCCCATGCTTCATACAAAGCCAAAGATAACAATAATAACGGTGTCAAAGGCAATGTGAGGATAACCGAACTATTTTTATAATAAGGTAAAGGCCATCAAAGTTGTACATTGCTTTATATATGTGGATTGTATCAAAAATTGCCAAAGTTACACCAAGAGTAAAGTTCGTGGCCCTTTACACTTTTGACTTCCGGTCCAATCATGGTTTGTGGCGTCCCAGTCAAGCCATTCCTAGGATAAGATTATGCTTTGAGCCAGGCCCGAAACGAGACAATGCTTTACGCCTTAAAAATCCTCAACCTTCCTGGATGGCTCAATACGACCTTTCACACTTCAACTGGTGACTCCACCGCAAGACGCACGAATATCGTATCCTCATTTCTCTTCACTTGATGGTTCAATAAAGTCTTTCACCTCTGGTACAAAACGCAAAAATATCGCATCAGTCTTTACCGTCTTATACAACTCCGCTTGCTTAGCAATCTATTTTTTTTCTGGCCTCACCAATCCCGCAGCTTCGATCATAAAAACATATGACTTTGAACTGCGAAATTTATCTACTGTAGAAATAGTCAACCTCTTTGTGCTGGATCCCATCGACCACGACCACCAGGAAGTACAATAAGATCCAGTTCTTCCCTGATAGGCTTCTCTGTGCGCTTGAAGGTTCTTCATACGGAATTTATTGACTGACTTGGTGTATGTGTCTGACGATTCCTCGCGAGGAATTCATTAGTCAACCTTGCGCTTGTGTCTGACCTTTCGTTGATCTCAGTCAATAGCGAAGGGGGCCCGCAAGGCACATATTTATCGTATATCCAGAGATGATATATCTCAGAATTTCACGGAGAAACACAGCCACTAAAAAAAATTCGCCTCTTCCTCCTAAACATAACCACGGCTAATCGCCTCTGATGCGCAAAGTAAAATTTCAAAGTACTTTAATCGGCTCTCGTGGCAGTGTAAGTCTAATGCTACACATCGCTTCTTCACAAGAATTACATCTACCGTGGACGTAGGTGTATTTGGTACCAGCCGCACCCTTTCGACTAATTGCCATCACGACGATAAATTATACCGCCTCTGGGAGGTAGTCGGATGTAATTGTGGCGTTAAAATCTTTACCCTCTTGAAGTACATGACCTTTTCAACTTCCTTCCCTGATAAAATCGAGTTTTCGTCCTGGCTTATAGAGGTGAGTTGTCAACACCAGTAGCCTTACAGTGGGCTCCATCTGTTTTTCTACCGGCGCCTTGTTTGAGCAATTTTATTGGTGTCCTATCATCCCAATCACATAGCTGATAAATATTTCCTGGTGGGCAATTACCGCATCTGGTCCTTTGGCTGCCAGTTTGCTGATCCGGTCAAGAGCCATGGTATAATAAGCGTGTCCAGTTGTCCCGATGCCATCAACTCACACATCTCATATCCCCTTTACAAAGAATGCAGTCCTTCCAAGATTCTAAGATGTATCACAAGTACTACCTAGTGCAACAGGGTTGCCGTGTACTTGCACTTGCACAGCGGATGCTTCGACTTTAGGGTTCCCATCAACAACGGATGTCGGTTCTACCTTCACCCAGTGAAGGAAGTAACAGCCTCCGTATAACTAGGTGTTTAGTTCACTCTGCTTTTCTACGAGGAAATGGACTCAAAATTAAAATACTCAAAATATATCATCTGTTTTACATGGTGTGCGGTTCGTGCACCATCGAAATCTATAAACACTGATATTTCGGTACTTTTGAATATTCATAATTACATAATCCTGTGTGAATTTCGTACAATTGAACAAAATTGTATTTATACACTCACAACATAAAATTGTGAGGTGTACATACGGTATGTCCCAATTGCATCCTCTTGATATTTTAATCGAAGTCTCATCACGATCTTTTGTCTCTGAAGCTTTAGTTGTATTCAATAATTCTTCTTCCGGACGTATTGCAGACGAAATTAATAAAATAGATTTTGATATTCGGTTTACGTAGTTTATACTGACGATGGCTTCTACCTGGGATTAATATTATTACCTCGTGTTTTGCTCTAGTCGTTGCACAGATCGAAACAAGCTAAAATATCTAGAAACCCCACCTCTATATCACATATGTTGGCCATCACTCGTTTCCCTCGTCGCTTTCCAACTGCCAACAAGCGGCCCTTATATCTATCGATGCAGTTAAGAAGGGTCTTTTTGTCTTCAATGTTTCCGTGTCAAGCCGTGTGCAAACGTCCTTTGGTCGGTTTCTCTACCTATTCCCTTCATCGAGTCCATATTTCGTCGGCTTTTTTATTGCCGTCCGATAATGGCTCGATACCTGTGAAGATCCCAGTGACTCAGTCAGTTAACTTTTCCACCTTCGCTGCATCTCTACATGAAAACGACGAGCAGCAACATCATCAAAACATCCATGACGACAGCTATCTCTTTGGTGAGCGTACCGACGAATGGTATACCACGTCACGCAATCCACGTACGAACTCGACATTTCCAGGCGTCGACAGTGTTACGAGACGCTTGAGTGCTATAAAAATGCCAAATCTTCTTTCGTGCTCGCGCCAAGAAATGCTCGATTATTTTGACAACTCATGGGCGATGACAGATGCCCTATTTGCCACGTTACAGGGCAAGCGTGCCTTCACGACGCCACCACCGCATCAGCTCCGCCACCCGCTAATATTTTACTATGGACACCCAACTAGCTTCTACGTTAACAAGTTTCTCTTGTCGGGTCTCATCCAAAAACCCGTGAACCCTTATTTCGAGCAGATTTTTGAAGTGGGCGTAGACGAAATGCGCTGGGATGATATGAGCAAAAATGAAATGCACTGGCCACACGTAGCTGACGTACTAGTCTACCGTCGTCAAGTTTATCAACTCATTCGGAATGTAATCAAAACTCATCCGGGATTACAAGCTGGACATGAGCAAATTACCGAGAACAGTCCGCTTTGGGCGCTGCAAATGGCGCTCGAGCACGAGCGTATTCATCATGAGACCACATCGATGCTGATATTGGAGCATCCAGTCGAATTTTTCAAGAGCACGCCACTGCTGCCTGACTATCATAAATCGCTACATGACGTTAAAAAAAGAGTCACAATGCAACCGGTTGCAGGTGTGGACTATCCAATAAACGATTTTGTCGAGCTTCCTGCTGCCAAAGTTCGGATCGGCAAACCACGCGATTTTCCTTCGTTTGGATGGGATAATGAGTATGGCCACTGCGAAGTAAATGTACCAGCCTGCCGTGCAAACAAGTTTCTCGTTTCAAATGGAGAGTATTCCGAGTTCGTGCGTGAAGGTGGCTACATGGAGCCATTGTATTGGAGCACACATGGCTGGGATTGGCGCTGTTTTCGCGACACGAAATTGCCTTCTTTTTGGGTGCAGGACGGTCTGTCTAGCAGTCGACGTTTTAAGTTACGATTAATGTTTGATGTGGTGCCAATGCAATGGAATTGGCCTGTTCAGGTAAATTGCCACGAGGCTCAGGCTTTTTGTAAGTGGAAGCAAACCAAGCAGTCAGATCAAAATTTAATCTACCACCTCACAACAGAGCCAATTCATCAGTTGATGCGAAATGAAAAGGATCGCTCTATTTATGTGTTTTCTGACGCTAATTTGATGCTTCCGAAGAGCACCAACATGGCTACTGATTTAGACAAGAATCTTAACTGGGCTCACATGTCGTTTTCTCCCGTGGACGCCTTGCCGCCAACAACCCAGGGATTTTATGATGTGTTTGGTAACGCTTGGGAGTGGTGCGAAGATATGTTCTCGCCGCTGCCTGGATTCCGCGTTCATCCTTACTATCATGACTTCAGTGAGCCCTGCTTTGATGGTGAGCACAACATTATAATGGGCGGATCTTTCGCTAGTGCCGGTGGAAATGGCGTATCCAAATTTTCTCGCTTCCACTTCCGCCCACATTTTTTCCAACATGCAAGCTTTCGAGTCGTGGAGCAGAAAGTTAACGGCGAAAGCGAATTCATGTTAGCAACAACAGACGTGGATGCTCCGTTCCCGTATGTAAGACGAACCCCGTCCCAATAAACCGAGCGCAAGCTGTTATCTGGCGAAGGTCGTGAACTAGATAAAATTTCTTAAGGAAACTATACTGTTATCACTTTTCTCAATAGTTACCATGTCAACTTAAACTTTCACTTGTAATCGGGCAGGAGAAAATATATTTTTGCTTGGTCTACCGTCTGCTTTTTATCACCTAGTCAATACAAAGACAAAATCTTTATAACCTTCACTCATCACTTTTTACCAGACCGGACGGCACGATTGTGGCGATCAGAATGATTTTTACTTTTGATGAGTGACAGAGCCAGAAGATGTCTTTTCCTACCACTCCTCTTCTTCCATATTTACTACGTTGAGCATCTTCAGCAATTGCGCAATCTTTCATACTTTTGTACCGTATTATGGTGTAAGAGCGAATGACACTTTTGAGACAGCGTCAAACAAAAGAATGCTAATCAACCTAGGTACGAATCGCGATTTAG